GTAAGACGACATGTACAGAGAACCGTTATAAATTCTAAAGAGTGATCACCGTAACACAGTCTTACAGTGATCGATAAATACTAATCTGGAATAATCAAACCCATTTTAGAGGGCGGGATGAAAATGGAGGAGAGTACCCTGGCATATGCAGACAAACTCAGATCTCCTCTCAGAGTCCAGTGAAGAAACCTGAATTTGCTTTCAGAGACGGCAGGGTCTGAATGTGGCTTCTACCAAGCAGCACAGCCTGGTGGTAAACAAATAACTCACAGATTTGAAACAATTAGATTCAAACCATGTCACACAACTCATTAAAGAGGAGGACACTTCCTATTTACCTCATTTAGGGAGGCCTATGTAGATAAAAACTGGCACTTCGTGAAGTGTTATTAAGACAAAGGAAGATAATGAATTTAGGCAAGAAACTCTAGCTTCTGGAATTCGCTTTTGACCAACCTGCCGGAGCCCTAATTTAAGAGATCTTTGCAAGAAGGGTCTCCTACTGACCCCCCCAAATGCTATTCTGGAAGAGGCTCAGGGCTCCTATGAACAGTCTGTGCATATGCTGCAGAAACTGCAAGACAGGACGAGGGCTGCATCATACTCAAGAAGTGACTTTCAACTGTCAGCATGTCTTTGATTATAAAATCTGTAATAATTCCGAGAATAGCCATCTAGTTTTAATAATTTTTATTTAACATGAACACATCTGTATATGAATGACCAAAATATCGTTACTGTGGTGAAATGGTTTTGCAATGTTACAAGTATATTCACAATGCTTTCAGGACCTTTCATTTTCAAAAGAGAGAAAGCTGCTGAGAAAAAAGAATAATATAAATCAAAGTATGTAATACGGGATAGTGTATGCATTTTGTCCCCATTTAAAATCTGAAAATAAGCAGTTTTACAAAGCCAAAAGTGTTTTCCTTTCTGAGCCAAATTTCTGTGTGAGAACTGAAGCCTGCAATTAATGGGTTGCCTCAAACTTTAGTTATAGAGCCAAAATTAAAATTACCCTCCTTAAGATCTTATATGCGCAGAGTACTGGCTATTTGCTTCATATTAAGAATTTGGCTTAACATGGCCTCTCTGATTTAAGAAACACATAC